TGCGTGGTTTTTGTTCGCCAGATGGTCAAGGATGCTCCTCGATGGTCCTCGCCGAAGGAAACATGCACACGTCCGAGCGATGCCAAGGTCGTGTGGGATGTGGGCGCGTTCTGGCAGCGCGACCTCTGCATGTCCTCGAACAGGGCCGAGGCCGAGCGCCACCTCTGCGCCTTCGCGTGCGCGCTCATGGCGGTGCCGTAGCTGATGTTGTCTGGCTCCAGTCCCTGGCAGCGCAGGCCGTCGAGCAGCGTTGAGGCCAGGTGCCAGTGCCGCGAGATCTCGCACGCGCTGATCGCGGTGTTGAAGGTGACGACGGTGGGGCTCAGCGAGGCAGCGCTCACGGCCTTCGAAGAGGACACAGCGGCATTCACATACATTTTTTGAGGTCTGCGCGGGGCTCCGAAAGTCTATGTGGATGCCGCTGTTCTTCTTCTACGTGGGCCTGCAGCAGAACCAGCGCCATCTGCCACGCGTGTGCATCTCTGCACGCGCCCGCGGCAGCGTCGAACGTGACGACGTCGGGGGAGATCCACTTAGCCTGCAGGAGGAGGAGGAGGAGGAGGAGGAGGAGGAGGAGGAGGAGGAGGAGGGGAAGGAGAAGGAGGAGGAGGGGGAGGAGGGGGAGGAGAAGGAGGAGGAGGAGAAGGAGGAGAAGGAGGAACGAGGAGGAGGAGAAGGAGGAACGAGGAGGAGGAGGAGGAGGAGGAGGAGGAGGAGGAGGAGGGGAGATCCACTTCGCCTGCAGGCCCCACAGCGTGCTGACAGCCCTCTGCCACTGCCGCGCCTTGCCGCACGCGCTGACCAGGATGTTGGCGGCCACCACGCCGCCCAGCGACGCCGGCCGCCTGTGCAACACCCCCTCGAGCAGTGAGGCGGCGAGCTCCCACTGGCGACCGCGCCCGCAGGCGCCTGGGGAAACCATTATAGCCAGAGTGCAAGTTTCCAAGGTCGATTGCGTGCCCGTCCAGTGCGGGCTGGCATGGCATGTTAGAACAGGATTACATGATGTTTGCACATGAGATGTTTGCACGAAAACATGTGTGACGCATCGCATGCCTATCAGGCACCGATACCGTTAGGTCGGGCCTGTCCCCCTACAGGGGGATTTTGGGCGAAGAATTTAAAAACACTTAAACAATACCCCCAAATGGTCAAAAGATTATCAAAAAGTCGTCCCCTGACTATTCTTTGACCATGTTGGAATATCCCTCCTGTAGAGGGACAGGCCCGACTTAACGATACCGCTACTCCCCGGACCTCTCCCGGGGCGCGTTCGGACCAGAATCTCGAGGCGAATCCAGCAGTGGCGACGAGAGCCTCCCAGGAGGCCAACAACGTGGAAATCGGGCGAAGGGTTAGCGGTGTGGGTACGGCAGGTTCGTGTCGTGCCGACTTCGGCTTTGGTTTCTGACACCGCAGGGATCGTTCAACCTTGAACGATCGCCCGTTTTTAAATCGTCCAAATCGTTTCACATTGAACGATTTTGAGTCGCCCGCGGCGTTCATAATTGAAGGCCACTGGCGGGGTCGCCGCCGGTCGACACGACACGAACCTACTGTACCTTTTCCTCCTCCGAGCGCGGGGGGCGTCCAAGAGGGGGGCGCAAATCATGGCCGGCGGCATGTGCGCGGCCCAGGGGGGGGCCAGGAACGTATTGAAATAAGAAAAACCGCCATGAAATCTGGGGAGATACCATGGCCCCCGCCATGATATCCCCCCCCATGGTCATCACCCCCCTCTTTGTTCTCTGAGCATTTTCTTAGGGTGGAAGATCCCGGGTGAAATCCACATGGGATTTCGCACCTCGAAAATCAATCCGTCTTGTGATTCACCTTTTGCAGGTTCAAGCCTCGAAAACCCATCGAAACGGCATTTCAGATGTCACCCTGTGCCCTCCACCACAGACCCCCGACGTCGTGATTTCTTCACGACGTCGACCCCCAGAGATCCCGACCCTTTCTCCAGGACTGGCTTTTCATCCTGAGTCGTTTCTTGGAGGTCCCGAGGCCGGGGAAGGGCCCCCAGAGGCCGAAGATGGCGAAAAACTTCCCGTCGTGATTTTGTTCACAACGGGGTCTGGGTCTAAAACGACGCGAAGATCGGGACAAAATCGGATCGGGATAACTCGAAATCTCTGAGAATCGGCGGGTTTGGAGGATGCATTGGGCGCCGCGGCCGCTCCAAAGCGTTCCGGAACGCTCTGAGAGCGCTCCGGAACGCTCTGGAGCGATTTATCCCGATCCTAGCCCTGTTTTAGGGTCCGAGCGCCTGCGACGGCGCCGAGGAACACCGCGTCTGGGCAGAGCCCCGCGCCCTGCGCATCTGCCAGCACGGAGACGGCCTGCCGCCAGAGCGCGCGCCGGCCTCGGGGGGGGCATCAGGCACAGTGCTGTGGATGCCACGGCACTCGGACTCGGACTCGGCCTGCTTCATGCACCGCGAGGGTGCTGCAGGGTGGGGCCGAAGCGCCGAACAAATGCAAATAACAGTGAAACAAATTCAGCATATAGTGAGACTACAACGGACAATAACAAAATGCGTGACGAATGCAACTATGACCTGTGTACTCGCCGGCCGGCCGCTCATGTGACGATGTAGCAAAAATGGATAGAACCAATAATACTGTACAGTGGACACTGGACACCCTAACAGTCCTATCATTGAATTGAAAATGTGCTTAAAATGTCGGACAAATTTCCTAAACATGCTTTAAACATGTTTAGACTACATGTCGAATACATGTTCAACGCATGTTTTAGACATCTGGGAATTATTTGGTAACGTTCACAAGCATAGTGCCCGCGCCGCCCCCTCCCCGACCCTTGTCGGGCGTTCCCTGAGATCCGACGCTCCAAAAAATTGAAGCAGGCGGTTTTTGGCCGTTTTCGGTCTTCGGGGGCCCTTGCAAGGGGCCTCGGGAGTGCCAAAAACGGACGCAGGACGAAAAACCGGCCCAGGAGAAGTGGTCCGGGCCTCCGGCGTCCACGCACCGAACAAATTGGAGCAGCTGGATGTCTGGGCTGGCAGAACGGGGCTCAGTGGGACCTGGTTCAGTGACGTGTACTGGGGGACGCACCCCCCCCCTGCCCCGCTCCACTAACCAGAACTGCCGTCACCAGCTACGGCAGACCTGGTTTAGTGCCAAGGCCGCGCTGACGGCGTGCTTGGAGAACGGTGCGGTTGGGAATATTGTTTTTGTGACACCGAGCTCACGCCAAACAAAATGTAGGAAATCACGAAGCACCGTTTCCTACATTTCATATATACGAATGTACCGAACGAAAACGATACAGCGAGTTGCAGAAAAACACGGTTTGGCCACGAACCACGCCTCCCTACAATTGTTGTTCTACTTCGCCCCCAGACCCCCGACGTCGTGATTTTTTCGCGACGTCGCCCTCCAGAGGTCTGGACCACTTCCCCAGGATCGGTATTTCGTCCTGCATTGGTTTTTGACGGTTCCGAGGCCCGGGAAGGGCCCCTGGAGGCCGAAAGTAGTGAAAAACCTCGCGTCGTGATTTTTTCACAGCGCGAGGAGGTCTGGGCCGTTAGCTAACACAACGTTAGCGCGTCGACGGTAGTGACTCTGGCCGGGTTAGGCGCTCCGGGGCCCTACTGCTACCCGGGACACGCCCGGCTCGATCTCACCTGGGGTCCTGGCTGTACCCGACCTCTCCGGGGGCGCGCTCGGGCCGGGATCTCGAGGCGAAGCCAGCCGTGGCGACGAGGGCCTCCCAGAAGGCCCAGGGCAGCGGCATCGGTACACCCTCCCCTCCCCAGCCCCCCTCGAGTCATGAAAATATCACGACGGGAGGTTTTTCTATACTCTCGGCCTCTGGGTGCCCTCACCGGGCCTCGGGACCGTCAAAAAACAACTCGGGATGAGAAACCACTCCCGGGGAATGGGTCGGGACCTCTGGGGGTCGACACTACTAAAGAATCATGACGTCGGGGGTCTGGGTCCTCAGATCTCCGACGTCGCGATTTTTTCACAGCGTAAACCCCCCAGAGGTCTGGACCCCCTCCCTGGGACCGGGTTCTCCTCCTGAATGCTTTTTCCCAACCCTCCTGTGTTGGGTACTCATTTTGAATAGAGCACTGCGGTCTCCACCTTCCTTCCTTCCTTCCTTCCTTCCTTCCTTCCTTCCTTCCTTCCTTCCTTCCTTCCTTCCTTCCTTCCCGCCTCCTCCCGCCTGCGGTCGCCATCCCTGGGTGGCTGCGATCTGTGAAACTGTCGTCACTTTCGAGGGCTGCTGGGGGGCCCAGCGGAGTGACGTCCTACGGGGATTCAGATTAGACCTCGCCATCCCTGGGGGGCTGCGATCTGTGAAACTGTCGCCACTTTCGAGGCCGCTGGGGGGCCCAGCGGAGTGACGTCCTACGGGGATTCAGATTAGACCTCGCCATCCCTGGGGGGCTGCGATCTGTGAAACTGTCGCCACTTTCGAGGCCTGCTGGGGGGCCCAGCGGAGTGACGTCCTACGGGGATTCAGATTAGACCTCGCCATCCCTGGGGGGCTGCGATCTGTGAAACTGTCGCCACTTTCGAGGCCGCTGGGGGGCCCAGCGGAGTGACGTCCTACGGGGATTCAGATTAGACCTCGCCATCCCTGGGGGGCTGCGATCTGTAAAACTGTCGCCACTTTCGAGGCCGCTGGGGGGCCCAGCGGAGTGACGTCCTACGGGGATTCAGATTAGACCTCGCCATCCTGGGACCAGGTTCTCCTCCTGAATGCTTTTTTGACGGCCCCGAGGCCCGGCAAAGGCCCCTGGAGGCCGAAAGTAGCAAAAAACCTTCCCGTCGTGATTTTTGTTGCACGACGCGAGGGGGTCTGGGTCCCCTGGGACCTAGCTCGGCCGCGGCGGCGGTGCACTCGCCCGCGCTGCTGAGCACCCGCGCGGCCCGCAACTTCTGCAGGACCTCCTCGGCCTCGCCGGGCGACCGGCATCGCGAGAGGCGCGCCACGAGCCGTGAGGCCCCGCGCGGCGGGCCATGCATCTGCTCCCGAGGTGCTCCTGGGCCACAGTGGCTAGAAGGTCGAGGAGGAGGAGGAGGAGGAGGAGGAGGAGGAGGAGGAGGAGGAGGAGGAGGAGGAGGAGAACGAACGAACGAACGACTCTGCAGAAGGGTGCCAGATGATCCTGCCGTAACGCGGGGGAACTCCGAAGCAAAATAATGTAAGCTCCGAACTGACTCCCTTCTAGAGGGCGCGGTGACTCAATATATACTGGTCACGCGTGGCACTAGGTGCACTCTGCTCCCGCCCACCTACCCCACCTCGGCTGGAGGGCCCCAAAGCTTTAAAGGCAGGGCACGGCCGTGGGGTCGTGGGACGAAACTGGGACAAAACTTCGAAGCGCCAAAACAGAGAACGCGGTGCAGGGAGGCCCAGCGTTATCAGTCAGAGCCTCGCCTCTCGAGATTCAGGAAAACAAGTCCGCTACGACTCAGGCAAGCCTGTGGCCCGCGGGGCCTCTGAACAAACAAAGCCAAAAAGTCACGGCCCTGGGGGAGGGCCGCCCCGCTTTCTGAGACCTAGAAGACCCATGACCCTGACGAGAGGGATCGGGGGAGTGGGAGGGGGAGGAGACAGGTCAGAGGCGGCAGCGACGGCAAGATTATTCGGCCTAATCGAAGTCATCGGACCAGGAGTAGCCGAACTCCCAGTAGGCGTGGCCGAGGGGGGAGGGCGAGTAGCTCTCTGGGGTCTCGGAGATCTTGATCTGCCCTCCGTCCTAGCCACCCTCTGGGAAGCTGCCAAGGTAAGTGGACGAGGAGGGGTGGCCCTCGACGGTGTGGTCAAAGTCGCCAGTCGACCCGTCGATAGCATCTGTGGTGTGAGTCCTAGTACTGAATCTGACCCGCCAGGCCGGTACTCTCTGCCCTCTCGAGTCCTCTCGGAGAGTGAGCAGTGCGTGCCTGCGGGCCCTGGTGAGTCGGACCTGCAAGGTCGGCACTCTCTGCCTCCGAGCTGCGGCTCGGGAGGTGAGCAGTGCGTGCCTGCAGGTCCTTCTCTCCTCGCTGCGTCCAGCAACCTGGCGACTACTGCGCGTCGAGATGAATCTGCAGCAACCTGGCATTGTGGGAGCGAGGTGGCGCACCGTGTTTGTGAACTCCTCCGAGCTGCACCAGAGCGGCTACGACTGTGTCTTCTATTCCTGTCGCTTTGGCCTCTATCCAAATCTTGACTTTGTCCTGGGCGTGCGTCGTCTGGAGCCTGCAATGCCGAACCTGGTCGGCCAGCTCTCCGTTGGATGCAGGTGCGGCCTTCATGCGATCCTGGTACTCCTTGATTTTCTTCGCATTGGCCTGGCCCACCTTGTCCCCTTGTCCCACGAGTGCGCCCACCAGCGCCACCCACACGTGCGGATGGGGGATCCCCAGCGCCTCCAACTCTGGGACAGGCTCGCCGTTCTTGAGGGCGGCCTGATTCGCCTCTCGAAGTCTCTTGGCTTCCTGCCCATAGTACCGCGCCGTCAGCATCATCGACTGGGGCACGTCGTGGTTGGCGGGAAGCTGGACATGACGGAAGATGGCCGACTCGAGGGCGTTGATCGCTTGCTCGTGCCTGAGGGACATGCGCATCAGGATGGGCATCAGCTGCTGCACCTGCGCGATCGGGATGTGCGGCAGGTTCCTGACGTCGTCTTCTCGCAGCCCGTAGTGGTTGTCCGTAGCGCCCCATACGTCGATCTGCTGCGGGGGCAGACCTGCTCCTGGCGTCGCGGCCGCAGGTCCCGCTCCCCTCTGTTGCGAAGGGGCTCCCCGTGCACCTCGTCCTCGTCGGTCTCCACTCCGAGTCCGATCTCCTCGCCCACCTTCGAGATCGCGTCGCCTCTGCTCCGTCCCAGTGGCGAGAGCCCGCTCCGCCAGGTTCGACATCCAGCACCAGATCTGGGGCGGGCGGTGCGTGGGCTTCTCGGATGTGTGTCTGAAGTGCCTGCAGCGTCTGAAACGGCTCTTGAGCCAGTGTGGCCTCAGTCATTCTCTCTCTGAAAGCCTCGTGTGCTGACTCTGGGTCCACGCAGATCGGACAGTGTAGGTCTTCGGGCACAACCAGGGGGGGTGAGTACGCACTGAAATCTGTGAGGCAGCGGTGACGGCGAAGTGACTGCACCACGTGCCTCTTGGCCAGCACCACAGACGAAAAGGTGGAGGAGCAGTAGCAGCACTGGTTAGTCACCACAAGCTGATGCATCGGGACCCTGATCTTGTGCGACGGGTGGTGGCACATATGAGCTCTCAAGGCCGCTCTGGAGTAGAAGACGTGCCCACAGGGGTCCCCGCTCTCGCCTGGGAGGTCACAGTAGTATTCTTGAGGAGGGGCTTCAGGGACTGGTGGAACCTCTGGTGGTACCCCGTGCTGAGGGGGAGGCCGAAGGGGTCCTTCCTGCTCCTGCTCCCAATAGGCCTTCCGAAAGCTCTTGATACTCACGCTCTTGAAGTGGCACGCGACGCGGTAATTCGTGAAGATGTCCCAGATCGAATAGCCTCTTTCCAGGAACTGGCGCCCAGTGGGGATGACCGATAGGAGCTTGATATCCTGCTGGAGCTGGAGGGCCCACGGATTAGCGCCAGGCCTGATCCAACCTTCTGGGGTGAACGTCGGAGACTCGCCCAGCGTAGAAAAGTGCCCGAAGAGCGCCGCAACAACCTGAACCGAGTCAGCGGGATTCACCGCCAGGCGCTGCCAGTAGCCAAGTCGCCTGATCAGTAGCTCTGTCCTCGAGTCTGCGATGCGTAACCTCTTATGCATGACTCTCGCCGATGGTGTCCGAATCCTATCTCCATCTAGCCCCACCCTCCTGGCAACCCCTCTCATCGCCACCTTCGCGAATCCCAAGATCACCGAGTCGAGCCTGGCATAGTCTTTTTTTCCTAGGATATAGACCTCGAGGCCCGAGTAGGCCGCACTGTGGATAATTCCCAAGAAAGCCATCCTCTTAAGCTTCAAAGACGAGTGCTGGTTCCAGAACCTCCCGAGCTTTGACCAGGCAGAGCGCGCAGCGTCGACACGTAGTTTTACTTCCGCCCCTGAACCTCCCGTCAAGTGCTCGAGTCCGCCGAGGTAGATGGTTTCAGCCCGAGTTTGCCCTGGGAACTGGACGAGTCCTGATAGTACAGCCCTTGTAGCCGTGTATCCTCCTGGGCCAACAAAGACAGGGAGGATGATCTCCTTGTCTACATTCTGAGCGAACCCTCCTATCTCCTCGAGCTGATCAGACAAGATGCGAGACGATAGTTTTGCCCTCTCCGCTGCATGTACGGGGTTGCCATTCGGCAGCGGCAGGGTCTGCGATACGTCGTCGGCGTAGTCGCGCATGGAGATGTCGATCTGCTCGGCGTGGATGGGCGAGTCAATCAGCGTCGCCGCCTCCATCATCGGCACCGAGCCGCCACTCTCCGTCTCTAAGGTGGCCTGGGTGCCCTGGAGTAGTATCTGGTTCCACACCTCCAGCGGCTTGACGAACGACCTCACGAACAGCTCGCACGCGTTGCCGTCGCCCATGCCCGTGCCGTGAGTGGGCTGGAAGAAGCCTCTTTCCTCTCCAGCCTCGACCTCGATGACTGCCTCGCGAATCCTCTGGAGCAAGAAGAGTTGGTCCTGCATGTCTGGGATCACTTCCCCAATCACCTGCTCCAGGATGTCATGATCTGTCGAGGGGAACGCATTGCTCATATCTTTCTTGATCTGCAGGTGCGAGACGAGCTTCTTCCGTAATCTCCACGAGTGAAGCTTCGCAACCAGCTGAGCGCTCTGCCTCGACCTGTGCGCTGCATACCCATGTGCGTGCAGTGGGAGCCTTGGGCGTTCGTGTCTTACAAATATGCCTCTGTACCAAGCTTTGCCGAACGGGCAGTAACAGTGAATAAGCCTCATCGCTTTGGTGCCCCTCTTGTCGTTCCCCTTACTCAACTGGAACGTCTTTGACCAGTGCCACTGGTATGGTGTGCGACACGTACTCCTAATCTGCCTCAGTATCTCAAAGATGCGCTCTGCCAGTCTTGGGCAAGGAACATGAACTCTCTGTCTTCTCCCTTGTGGATCTTCATCTGCTGGTTCGCCCCTGGCTTCCTGAGTAGCCGCTCTCATCGCCATGAGCCACACCTCGCAGGGGGCAGAGTGCGGGGGGGAGTACCTGCGTCTGGCCGCCCTCTCGAGGCAGAGCAGCGTGTTCGTCCAGTCGTCGTAGGCGGCCGACCCAGGTCTTCCTCTCAGGTCTTTCCACTCCCCATCAGGATCCTCCCTCTCTCTTGTAGCCAGTGCCACGCAGCGAGGGATTCCTGGTCCTCGTAGTCGAACTGCAGAGAAGCCGCCCTCCTTCGCGTCGGACTCCAGCGTGTCCTGCCACTCTTGCAACGTCGGGGCGTACGTAGGGATCAGATTGAAGCGTCTTCTCCTCACCCCATGGTACCGCGCCCCTATCTGAAAGGCGATCTTCCATACCGAGCTGGTGTGGCCACGATCCGATGCCTCTTGTGCCTCCGTCAGCAGCGCCTCGACGTTCTCTCTGTCCAGCCTGATGCGCGCCCGCTTGATCTCGCGATCGCAAGCTCTCAGTCTCTGACGATCCTCTTCTCGAAATTGAACACTAAGTTGCCGTCTCTTTGCCAGAAGTCGATCTCTCTCTTCTCGATATGCATCAGACGGCCCTCTCGACTTGTTCTCCACGAATTCCGTCTGTGCTGCCTCCGTGATGTCTGCCACGAGGTGAAACCAGGACAGCGAGGGGTCATCTGCTCTGAGATAGGAGGAGGAGGAGGAGGGGGAGGAGGAGGAGGAGGAGGAGGAGGAGGAAGAGGAGGAGGAGGAGGAGGAGGAGGAGGAGGAGGAGGGGGAGGAGGAAGAAGAGGAGGAGGAGGAGGAGGAGGAAATGGTTGCCGTGTGTACGCCTATGCATGTACCTCCCCCTTTCCCTCCCCCTCGTGGCCTCCCCCCTCTCATGTGTGACGTTGTGCGCAAGACCGGAATGATACGTTTGGGCCGGAATTCGTAT